AATATTTCAATCCGTACACAAAATACCAGGTAGAATGTTCCAATATACACTGTAAATAAATCAATGTGTGTAGCGACTGGATTATTGTAAGTAATGTCAACACATTTTCTCGTCACAGCGTAATACACTTTTAACTCTTCCGCGCTGGCTTGTGACACAATTTCAACAAATCAATATAAGTTTAAACAAAGGTTAGAAGATGCTTGCTTTCAGCGAACCAAGAAATGCATATGTTCCAAACTAGCTTATAAGATTTTGGATGAAAGCAAGTCAAAATATTTTGCCTACGAAACACAATTATATGACGTCATCACCAGAAGACGTTGACAAGAGTTAACCAAAGCTTATGCACATTTCAGGCTGTTATATTCATTGAACCAGCCACATGTTATTAGGTCTTGAAAATGAAATATGTGTCCCCTGATCTTACTAACGAATAAAAAAACCTATGAAACATTCACAGAAAAGTGCTGCATATATAAGGAACAGTTTTCTATTTCGGTCAGGTTATGAGTTGATAACTCCTATTGAGCACGAACAAATTTGTCAAAGACGGCTTCGCCATTTATTCATTTACACGTGGTTAGCTGGAGTTATAACCTCATACATGTAACCTGACCAAAATATAAAACTATTTCTTCAATAACCCCTGTCGACATAGTAAGTATATCCAAATCAATTATATACCTTATCAGACCGTGTGAAAGATCCCGTCATTCTCTTATTTACGACCTGTCAATTGGTTTTTTTATGTCGATTGTCGCTCGGCCATCGATGTTATTACAGCTGAGGTTCAATATAGAGAATTAACTGTGCATGAAACGGTAGTTTGACGGTCGATATTGAAACTAATATGGTTTTGTTGGTATTCAACGCCTACCACGTACTACTAGACGAACTGCCATGGCACCAATAGAAAAACTACAGCGGCGGATGAAAGTTAATTAAGGTGGGATTCAGGAATCACTCCTATCTCCATACCTTTCCTCTCCCAACCGCTTCTTCCCAACACTACCTCCATATCCTACCCCAACCTCGAACAATGACAGAAGAGGGGGGAAAAGGCTGCGGTGTTTATAAACGATGAAATGAATAATCCAAATATTTTTCCATACATTTATCACCGTGTCTTTGTTAATTTTTTAAAATATGTTAAATCAGACAAACCTCACATTCATAAGCTGAAGCATATTTAATTTGTTTTCATAATAACAGTTCCTTGACATATTCCAAGTATCGCATTGGCGTAGGAGGTCCTAGTAACAGCGTGACGACAAAACAAACGAAATGTAGTTCCATTTTCAAAATCTGATTTGTAGAATATTACATGAAATTTGTTATCATTATTTATTGGAAACAACTTTTTTTCATCTTAAACGTAAATGCAGTTATGTTCATTGTCATATAAATTAACATAATAACAGTGCTACATGGCGAACGGTTAACAGACTACGACTGTATTACGTAATGAGGTGCGACATTACTGTATAGCAATACACAATGTTATAAGATCACCTGTGTTATGCAATAAATGTATTTTCCCTCCAAGGATTCAAGTCTACCGAATGTAAATATTTAATTGTAAACACATTACTGTTTACATTGCAAATAAATAAGTCTACAGTTTCTTCACTGTTCGATGAAAACTAGTTGCAATGTATATTGAGAATACACATTTTGTATTAAAAGACATACATGTGATGCACCTTTAAAATTTGGTAATACATACAACATGGCAAAAATGAAGAACACTGCAGCATACACCCGTTAAAACGTAGACGAAAATGGCAGTGGCGACATTTTGATTTCTACCTCGATTGATCGTTGAGGACGATGACAGTTTCTGATTGTCACGGTCATGGGACAATTATCTAGTTACTATAAAGATAATTGGAATCACATAATCTTATCCTTGGCTATCTGACATCCTACTATGTTATATATTCTGACAGGATTTTTGATTTACTTCAGAGCAGCGAAGATCCAATAACAAATCTTGGAAAGGTCCGAATGACCTACTAGAAGGGTCTAAGTGTAAGAAATGTATGCAATTTTCTAAGGCTGTGAAAGGGCGAGAGGGAGAGGATGGGAGTTGTCTGGAACCCTTGCGGACAGCCTCTAAATCTCTCAATTAGACACCTAAGGCGACAAACAAATTTATATATACAAGATAAAATCTCAAGGAGTCAATTGACAAATAGATCGAAATTATCACAAGGAACGGATTAATGAGATCAAAATGCTGATATAAATTCGGACTCTTTACATCAAGGATTAAAATCGTCGCCAATGTTTACTTTTGTTGATGGTTGACAATGGGAGATATTTACCTGTCAACATCGCTGCCCTAATCTAGGTAGACCTTTTGTATCTGTACTTACCTTGTCTGTCGGTAATAATCACGCCTTGGAGATATGAACAACGTTAGAAAGCCTTTAAATGCCACGTCCAGGCTTGTGGTGCTATATAGGTGCCCCGTCGACCAGTACGCTGTCCGTGTAGTCCTATCTATAGTGGGAGAATGTAGGAAAGTCTGTGATGAACATCAGGGGAGACGGTCGTTGGACTTCCTACTCGATATGCTAGCTATATAGATCGTATCTGGGCTATGTCTGACTTCCACGGCCTTTTGTTTATAAACAATTCGCGCAAAAAGTCCTCAAAGCATCAGTCAATGTCTGCTCGTTAGACACGCCTTATCACAAGCGTTAGAAATGACTACTTGCGAAGACCCTCAATACAAAATATTTGTATATGCATATACCAAACCTGTGCTATGTATGACATTATTGTCAATTGATTTAAAGTTCCTACACGTAATTTAATATAAATAACGCTGAATGTTTCCTGTGTTTACAAAAGCAATTCAAAAGGCCGTTTTAACCTTCCAACAGCTCCAGTGATTTCAATTATCGTTAACGCATACAAATAATTCAAATGCTGATGATCATGATTTATTTAAAGGACGCGTGCTTTGTTTGGTGTTAAAAGATCCCCCAGGGGCCGTGTTGTAGGGGAATCTGGAATGAAACTACTTACATAAAGATTTAAAGGGATGTTTGTAAGAAAGGGGCTACATGTAATATGGGTCTACTAAGGATTGGTCCTTTAAGTAAACAAACAACCCTATTTAGCGTCAATCAAATTGCCTTTTCCCAATAGGACAGGGTCTTTAACTTTAAATCTAACAGTTCATCATGTCGATTGTTTTGCTTTAACAAGGCCATGGTTTTTTGTACCAAAAGCCGTCGTGATCGGTGCCGCTTTTTGTGGTACAGACAACATGCTTCCGGAAAAGATAGTTTCACTTCCGGTTTAATGGAAAATTAAGTGTTGTTCCTTTTATATATGTTGTCTTTTCAGTTCCTGTTTATATATTAATGTATGGACTTTGTCCTTGTATTTTAACGCTGTTGAATAATATTTTTCTATAACTTTTATCGATACCCGTGTGGGTATGCTGACTTGTTCATGTGGAGGTCAAGGTCAGAGCAGTTTGAAGAGGGAATTTATATATCTACATATGTTGTGCATTGCATTTGTAACCATTTATTGAAATATGAATTGAGCTGTAATTCCTAGTAGTGTTCAACTATATCCTATTTCTATTACTTGAAAAGGCGACAAGAAAATACCAAAGTATTGACAAAACGATAATTTGAACTCGGGCAAATTATGAACTCATAAAAAAATATCATGGACAACATTGAAAAAGTAGAAGGTAAATAAGACCAAGTGTTCCGAAAGGAAAAACGTTTTCTGCTTCCTTCATTGAAGTCACTCGCTATGTAAATATACGTCAAATCCAAGTTATATCACGTCCTCACATCGTGACCATGGATAGGGACAACAAAACCACAGAGCGATAATGAGCATATAAATAAATAAAACATCCACCTACATATCGTCCACAGAAATAAAATGTAGAATATCTTACAAGAGGAACATGAGGGTGACCATAAAACTTGTCCGAAGTCTTCATCAACCCGCATATTGAAATAACTTTAAGAGTTGGCATGTGCGAAAACCATGTGATGCTGAGACGGAACCCTTGGACTAAGAAGATGGTAATTTTGATCAGTTTAAAATTCACAGAACTCACAAATGTACATTTTTTTTTGTTCCTGGTAGGCTTTCATCAATCGTTGTTCAACGAAAAAAAATGTTGTAGTCGCCGTAATGCCCGATTTTCACCATATCTACCAGTATTAAAGATTTTATGCACTTGAATTCGATCATGACCTAATTAGTTTTCTCCACTTATCAAAAGGCATCATGACGGGTACCAGATCCAGATCACGTGGTTTCGCCTTAATCTATTTGCAGATTCATAATGTCTTTTATTAAGTGTTTATGTTTCCTTGGAACCAGTTGTGGTTTTTTTCTTTGTTCTTTTTTTAGTTGCTTTGTCCTTGTTTTTATTTTTCTTGTTTCATTCTAATATCTAATCGTGTCTGACGTTAAATCTTATTTTTTCATTCCAAGGTGATTTCCGAAATTAAAACTTGTTTCGCTATTCCAAACTGACTTCTGCAGTTAAATCTTATTTCGCCATTCCAAACTTATCTTATCTTATTGACGTTAATACTTAATTCTTTACGGTACAAATATGTCAGAAGTCTAACCTGCAGTGTCTTTTCTTATTCACAGTAACCTCCCCTTAATTTGGTTTCGGATACAACTGTAGCACAGTTGGTCCAGGACACTTCCATTTATCATGGTGCTCAGTGGGTTGGAGCGACAGTATAACAATCTGAAGTGTATAGGGTTCAAATCCTGCTGAACGTTTACACTCAGACGAATTTGTAGTTAGAGCTTCTGGCAGTGGTATGGAGATCCTTAAACTGATTTCTCACAAGGATGAATTGACTCACAAACCAATATAATAAACATACAATGATAGCACTCTTCCTTACATTACAGCGGGCGCACCCTTTCTAACTATAATTACGACAGACGCAAAAAATCAAAATTTGATATTTATTACATGAACAAAACATGATGAAAACAGTTAACTGAAAAAATAGTTAGTTTGGATACTTAACATGGGATTTTCTTCATTAACGAGACAATAATTTCATTAAAATCTGTCTAATTTTAGAACATGATCCTCTAACGACGTTCCAGTGGACTTATGGATCACATTCGCCCTATCTTCACTCTGCGGAACAATGATGGCAATCTGCCTGTGGCGTGACGTCATGTGGTCATATCCCGTGACGTCAAGTTATATTATTTCACTCCACAGAAGTATTTGATGTCCTTTAGGAAAGTAAACACTTCTTTTTGCAATTCGTGTTTTCGTCAAGGATCTCCGGCTATCATTTCACAAAATTCTGAAACATATCATAAAATTACATGAAAAAAAACGAAGTGATATTGAATTTGTTGATTATATACATATTTATTTTTTCTTTATAGTTGACAATTTGTGACATTCTTTTTGTTCTATTTTTCTTCTATTTCAAATCAAACGATATAAAATAATTCATCATAGAGATAACACAAATGAAGCTGAACTGACTGCTAGGTTCGTAATATTTACCTTCAAAGCTTACTTTACCGTCACCATCTTTGTCGGCATCTTTAATCATAATCCTGACCTCATCCTCAGACACATTCTTCCCGAACTTGCGCATCATCGTCAGAAGTTCTTCCGGTCCGATAAAACCATCCCCGTCTGTATCAAATAACGCGAAGGTTTCTTCATCCACTTCCGGCCCAACTTCTTCGTCTATCTTGTTTAGCATCATCTCTTCGAACTCGTCAATTTCGACAGTTCCGTTTCCTGTGGAGTACATTGATATTCGAATTAATGTTTTTATGTAAGTAAAAACAGTCTCAATTAACCTCGATATAATGCCCCTGCCTTTACCTGCAATATATTTAACACTGGCGTATAGTTTTAATGCATACTAATCTTTCTAAATGATTTTTAATGTTCCTCCTCGATATATCGCCAAGAACTTTTTTTTAAATGTCAGAGCACCTGTGGCAGTATAAAGAGTTTTTACTGTAAATAAATATAAGGACACATTTGACAACCTTTACTACAGACGTTCAGAAGGAAGTGATACATTCAAATTCTCCCTCCAAATGATTGACGTTTTATGATTGAGGGAGAAAAGAGTCTCACGTGGAAGGACGTTGGTCTTTCACATGATAGTTACCCACATGTCTGTACCCATTTGTACATCTGGGCAAATGCATGAGTTAGAAGAATATTAAATCAGAGCAAATTCGGCCTGTTAATGAAAAGGAGCATTCAGTGTCTTTGATTTCGTGTAAGATAATTCCCCGTTCACAGTTCTATGTCTTCAGCTAACTCAATACATAATAAATGCGTTACAAATGTATGTATTTTATGAAAGTTTGGAGAAATGATGGTCCCGCATCAATCTGTGTGACAATATACTAGTTCCTATCTTCTAAACAAATCGAAAATACAACTCCACGTACCAATGCATTATAAAGCAGGGCACGTTGATGTTAAATGTATGTTTTTATGTCTTGTGAAAAGAAAAGAACCATAAGGTGGACTGACCATCGGCATCCACTTCGTTGACCATGCTGTTGAGTTCAGCTTCTGTAGCGTTCTGACCCATGGCCCTGAGGACGGAAAACAGTTCCTGTGTCGTTATAGTGCCAGTCTGTTTCATGTCAAAGAAGTCGAAAGCCTCAGCAAATTCTGAAACAAAACGTAATGGGTCATATCCATATTTCTGTATCATTGTACAAGGGGGACTATTCCTGCTGTACCCTACTTCATGCTGGGAAGGGGGTTAATATAGAATCTTAACAAAATCGTTTATTCTGAATTTTCTGTTTATAAAAGAAGATTAAACGGTCTGTTGTTCGATGTTAGATGATACACTTGGAGATATATATGATATGCACTGTGCTGTTCCGTTAATCCAGACTTTGAACTTTAATGTTGATAATATTTTATTAATCTTAAAAATGTCAGAATAATTAAACTGTCCAAACTAATCAGATGACTTTTGATTGGTGGCTTTTTAATCGGTTGATAATTCCATGACTGATCATTTCACAGGATTTCACTTATTAGATAGTACAGAACAACTGGAGATGATTCAATTATAAGTACCTTTGGCTTAAATAAAAATTATATATCATTCCTACAAGCAGAATAAATATCAGTTTCATTTTATTTTAACGAAAAGGCTTTTAAAAAAACAAGTTCGTCTCAATGTTTATTTCTATACCTCCAGCAATTAGGGTCAGCAATGTTGTCTATCAGTACATGTAGCAGCCATTACTGGTACAGTAACAAAGTGGAATACTAACCTGCTAACAGTTCTTTAGGCAGTGGCGGTTCCTCTTCCTCTTCCTCCCCCTCCTGCCAAAAACATAATAACGTTAATTAATTATTTATTAGATTATTTATGATAATATACATGCCTTTCAAATATCACTAACAGAGAAGTACAAACATCAAATGGATGTGCATTGAACTTCCATCGGATGTCACTAGCTATTGCTGCATCAGGGCAGATTCTCGCAACGTCTTTTTCCCTCAATACATCGTGAAGTGTTGTGGGGAAATTGTACATGTGTATCTGCAGATGCGTATGTTTGAAGATCAATTTCAGCTAATTTTCGGTAATATTGCAATATCTAAAAATGTTTTTTATCCAAACAAGTTATGAATATATGTATCAAATAAAAAAGCAATTCTATAAGGATAAATGCAACAATACGACAGTGGTTACTGAATTGGTTTTGCCCTCTGATTCTCTGTGTAGCTGGATTTTGTTGAACCACTATCTCTCGAGTAACAGAAATATGATGCATACATGTACAGTATAATGACGCGTCGACACAAAGTCGGTAAAGCGGTATATAAGAACATCGAATTATAAAGTGTAAAAATTCAGAACACTTGAATCTGAAAGTGTACCCGTCCCGCGAAGACAACACCAATATGTGACGCTTGATGGCTTTAATCCTGTCGGGACGTCAAAACACCATGATGCTGCTTAATCGTATCTTACAGTTCGCATAGTATATAATCCGGCTGTGGGTAAATTAAAACAAGATATGCATACCAATGATAAATCAACAGATTGAAAATAAGCGTCTATACCCATCTTTGAAATCGTCTTGCACTATTTCAGTCAGAAAAGCAATTAAAGACATTAATACATGTATGAACAGTACGTACCATTCTAGATCTGTTTTCCTAGCGTACAACTTTCCAAAACTTATGTTCTGATTTTCCTTGACAAAAAAGCTCCAAACTGTTCGGGCAAAACCATTCGTTTGTTATACATGTACATGTAAGTAAGTAATTGAGGAGGTATACCACTACTGATGTATAAAGTATACGTCTAGAGGTGTTCCGAAAACCCCCCATTAATCTGTGTTTTAGATCTGGTTAATGGTGTGGCTCACCCGAAGTCGTGTGTAATATAAAATAGATTATTAATGTTGGTGGATCGTCCTTTGTTTTTGAATCGACTTAATCTATTTGTTTCATTGTCGCGCTGTTAACATTTCTAGTCATGTAACAGTACGTTTCAATGGCCAGGATAATTATAAATTCTCAATGAATTATAATTGTAGCTATACGCGGGTTTTGTTCACGCAAAGTATTGATAAATGATTCATTAAATATCGTGTCTCTATTAACTCTTTGAGTTTGTTCAGTCTATACGTATATTAGGGTTTTAAATTGAACAGCTAATAAGAAACGTATCGAATGGTACATGTAACCTCGGCCATTATCTATGACGTATACGGTAAAGAAGCAGTTATTGTAGTTAGATTTGTATTGACGGTATACATCTGTACATGAATAACGTAGGTAGGAGAAACATTATCGAAACGACAGTCCTTCATTACGTTGCTAACCGCCATATTTTACAATACAATGAGGATTAATAAAGAACTAAGAGGTGGGTGGTTT